CCATGGAGGGGGGAGCGTGGCACCGGCTGCCTGACAGCTCATTCATCACGGCTGCCGGCCCCGGCCGTGGGGGCAAAGCCAGATTGGATTTTAAATTGGAAAATAAACCTGGACTCCTGTGAGCTCCAACTCCTGTCCTCCCCCTCCCTGCGCCAAGGACCTAGCTGTCCGTACCTCCCGCCTGCTCCGGCTGCCAGCCCCCTCCTACAGATGGGGAAACTGAGGCACAGCGCACCACCGTGCCACGGAGCCGTGATGCTCCTGGGGCAGCCGAGGGCTCTGCCCTGTCCTCTCTGCTGAGCCGGGCGCTCTGTTATTGCTTTCTTGGCGGGCAGCATCGATCGGTGCTCCCCGGGTGGCTGCGTGCCACCTTATTTATTTATTTGCGACAGCAGGCAGCATCGATTCCTGCCGGGGGGACAGCCGCCTGCTGCAGCCGGATTAGTCTCTGGCGTCTCCCCGGCTCCCGGCTGCCGTTAATAGAGTCCTGCCCAGCAAAGCCGATGTGAGGGATTAGGACCCTGGTCTGGGTGCGAGCACGTGCCACGCATGCCGAGGGGGCCTGGCGGGACTCGATGGCCCTGTTGCAAGGGTCTATGCCCACCCTGAGCCCTGGGGGGTCCCTGCTGGGTGCCGGGCCCATAGGGCTGGGTGCTGGGTAGCAGGTTCCCATGTCACCGGCCCTTGGTCACCTTGGGGACATGGGAGGGACACAGCTGTGACACGGTCACTGGAGATAAGCTGCTTAGAGACATCTGTGGAGGTGGAGGCTCTAATCCTGAGGTGCTCAAGGGGCATGGGTGGCAACATCTGGGCACAAGTGGCAACATCTGGGCGCCTGCTGCCTTCCCACGGTGCCCCAAGCATCCTGCATCCCCCAAGGACCAAGAGCATCCCCAGTCCTCAGCATCCCCCGGTACTGGGAGCATCCCGTGGTACCCAAAGCACCACGCAGAGCCCGGGACGGCACCCGGTGCCTAGGCACTGCCCAGCCCGGCCCCAGCACCTGGATGGGACCTTGCTGCAGGGTCCGGTCTCACCCAGGACCACTGTGGTCCCCAGCACCCCGGGCAGCTGCGATGCCATGGGCAGGGGGGCGCAGGGGGCCACGGTGGGCGTCTCTGCCCCAGCCTTCACGGCACGGAACAGCCGTGACGGCACAGGGCCCGGTCCCGAGCACTAATCTGCTATTAAAGCCTAAAAGAGATTTTGGCGCCTTTCAGTATAAACTCATTAACTTTTATGTTCTAATAAATGGATCCTATTAAAAAATAATTCTGGCCTTGCTGGGGGGCAAGTGAACCTTCTGGAGCCGGTGTGGCCAGGTGCTCGCCTCCCCGCTGCGCCCGGGGCATTATCACCGGCCCAGGGTGATGGCAGGGGGGTGCTGGGGACACAGGGCGGGGGGGGGATGCCTGCCAGCACCCAACGGCTCCCCGCCACGCTGCTCACCCATGCTAATGTCTCTTAATAATCCCTTAAAAGTGGCAGTTGTGGAGTAATTAATCTTCACGGGGCCCTGCCCTGCTACGGATCGGTATAATTACCCAGTAATTGGCAGTATCGTGTCATCAGCGCCTGTGCATGGCGGCGAGACGTGCCCACACGCTATCACGGCCTCATGCCCCGCACCGGGCCACGGAGAGATGCTGGATGCTGCCGTGGCATCCCTGCCGCCGTGGCATCCCCCCTCTGATGGCATGGTGGGGCTGGGGAGCTGTGCCCCCCGGGAGAGGGGACTGTGCCGTGCCAGATCCAGCAGGGAGAGATGTTGGGTGGCTCATTAGGGCTGATTAAATTCTGGGGTTTCTTTGGTCTAAAGGTTGTAAACGGCTGGGCTGGGCACGCTGGGGATTTGCCCAGGGACTAATGCATGGGAGGTCTGGGGGGCCATGGTGGGGGGATCCCCGTGGCTGCAGGTGGGAGGTGGGAAGCGTTGGCGGGGGGGTCCCTGGTAGATTATCATTGCCTGGGGACGGCCTGGCTGGCGGGTGGATGGAGAGAAGCTGAGCTCTCATGGACTCATTACACTGGTGGCCTGGAGCAGGGTCCCAGTGTTCAGGTTCCAGTGGCATCCCCGGTGCAGCCGGTCACAGCAGACACGGCAATCACCTGCATGTCTGCACCATGCGAATGCGGGGTCCTGGGGGACCCTTGGCACGGGTGGAGAGGGACAAGCTGTGACCAGGGACACCCAACCCCAGGGCTGTCCCCACTAGGGCTGGGTCACGGGAGAGGTGGGCACCCCTTAACGTGGTACAAGCTGCAGCTGTGCATTAATTATCCAGGGCTTAATTGCCAGGACTGCCCCAGTGGAGGCTAAGCTGTGGCAGGGTCCCACTGTATGTGGTCGATGTGCTTGTTTGCCATCCTGGTTTTGGCGCAGTATTGGTGTGCAGGGGGGCACTAGTCCTCGGGGCGGCATTGGCCCGTAGTGAAGCGTTGGTCCATGGTGAAGCGTTGGTCCCCGGCACAGCACAGGTCTGTGGCACCGCACCAGCATCGCTCCCCGGTGCGGTATCAGTTGCCAGCGCTGCATCCATACCTGGCGCAGCATCAGTCCAAGGCTTGGTCCCGGGTGCCACATCGGGCACAGCATTGGTACGTGATGAAGCATCGGTCCTTGGTGCATCACTGGTCCCCACTGCCGCATCAGTCCACAGTGCATCGCTGGTCCAGAATGAAGCATCGGTCCCTGGTGCAGCATCAGTCTACAGGTTCCCAGCACCTCATGCTCTCTCCTTCCCCCAGGCTTCAATGGGCTGGCGAGGAAAACCGGGGAGAACGCTGAGGCCAAGGGGGAGCCGACGGCCCTACCCACGCCGGCAGAGCGGGAGGCAGAGGCTCACTTCGTGAGCACGGCACCCACACTGAAGCTCCTCAACCATCACCCGCTGCTGGAGGACCTGCTGCACGAAGCCTTCCTGAAGAAGGACTACCTGGGCCAGGCGCCATTCCTGCCTGCCGGCCCCGGCCCCCTTCTGCCCGCCGGTGCCCTCCA